TGTTGGTGTAACGTGGAGATGGTTAGGGGCATATGGTGGTGAAACGGAAAACTCTGCAGGGGGAAGGGTGATGGTGGTGCACGAGAAAGAAAACGAGGAGAAGTGGCAGCAAGCAGTTCTTTTGTGAGACGAGTAGTTGAAAGGGAGATGGTGGGGAAAATAGGAAGAGGTTGAATGGGGGGTGATTCGCATGTGGCTACGTTTGTTGTGTGTTGTCGGCTTCATAATTGCACATTCTGTCTGGGTGGTGGAAATTCTCTTGTTCACTTCAAAACTTGGCTGAAGTGATACATCAAGTAACGATTTTATTATGATGTGACAACTACGGTGAAGCCGTGCCTTGAAAGTAAAGTCTAGCATGTATGCCCCATTTTTGCAAAAGCAATCGCTGGAATTCTAGCACACTTCAGAATACCCAGAAACACTTTTTGACTTCTGCTTCCAGCAATAAAAATGCCGGTCTTGTTGCTCATTTGGTGCACTGAACTAGGTACGTTCGAGAGGTGTTCATGTGAAGAAGGTGGAGGACATGGTACTCAAAGCCAAGCAGGAGGGTGCAAGTGAGTATGCTCCTTTTTGCCAACTCACCTCGGCTGATGCTTCCTCAAGTTCTTATGATATGTGATTTGGACTTCAGTTTGCTGTTTGTATATCCTTTCCTTAGCTCGTTCATTGTAGCATTGGAGTTGCCCCTGAAGACGCAGTACTGGCAGAAGCAGAAAAATGCGTCGGGATTTATGCCAGGGTGAGTGGCTAGGATGCTCTGCCACGCATGGCCTCAAGCTTCATGATTACTTTTTCAGTCCAGCTTGTGCTTAACGATTCTTTCTCTCTAAGCTATTTTGGAGGAGCTTCTGTAGGTTTATGTAGTTGGGGTGAATGCTCTTATGTGTCAGTGTGTGAATGTGCGATGTCTTTGAATGCGCATCGTAAATTTGGCAGTCATGGTGAATGATGGCTGTATCGCGATATAAGCGGTCATGATGCATGGAGTGGATATTGTCGAGCAAGTAGTGCATGACGTTATTGAACGAGGTCAAGTCCAGAGAATGGCCCTAGTGAATTACATGAGTAGTGCCGAGTGATTGATCGAGTACTAGCAAATTGCGCCGCGAGCAGCTATCTGAGATCCAAAGAGGATGCGGCGTAAAGACTCTATTGAGTCTGAGCCATGGTTGGAATTCACCATCTTTGCATGCTCTGTGTGCAACTTGCAAGGACATCATCAACTGTTGAAGCAGCATTGGACTGAGTTAGTGAGTGAGTGTGCCTGCCTTTGTGTGTGTCTTGTGTGTGTGTGTGTTCGTGTGTGTGTTCGTGTGTGTGTGTCTTTGTTCGTGTGTGTGTGTGTGTGTGTGTGTGTGTGTGTTCGTGTGTGTGTGTGTGTGTGTGTGTGTTCGTGTGTGTGTGTTCGTGTCTGTGTGTGTGCGTGGATGTGTCTGTGTTTCAGAACATGCCATGGCATGCTATACGATGTTGGTCCACAAAAAGAGATGTATGGTGTACCTGACCTGACCATAACCAGCCCAACCTTTCATGGTCCCACCATCTCCCATGCATGAATAGTTTCGGTGATTGGGCTCCAGCCGCTTCTTAAACCTGCGTACAGATAACACACAAATGGGAAGAGTAACGGCGATTGAACTCTAGCTGCTTCATGTTTACAAACCACCCACAGACAACACACATATGCAGATACGACAAAAAGAAACAGACTTAACCCAAGGATACACACAAGAGTAATGATACTGCTTTGTTGGACTAGCATTGGCTCATCAGGAGGCTGAACTGTCAAGCCCGCCGTGAAAGGGCCAAAGGTCCCAGCAAAAAAACAAAAAACAAAAAAGGTAAAAAAACTATGTTATGCAGAAAAATAAACTGAACAACGTTTGGCTCAGGGTTGCATCGAAGTTCTTTACCAAAATTTAAAATAAAAAATAGTTTTTATAAATTTTATTATTATTTTTATTTTATTTTTTTGGCCCGGCCGGGCAAGTCTTCCTGGGCCACTCTAGTAGCCTAGGCAGATACAGAGAAGATTAGCATGGCCCCTGCACAATTCTGACATGCATAAACTGCACGGAATATGAGCAAGAGCGATACACAGAACACCAAAGTTGCAAAATCACGAGGTAGTCCAGATAGTCATGGACCAAGCAGAGAGCACAATGCACCAAGATTCCATCCACGTAAGAAGAAGACAAAGAACTCAAATGTCAATGCTGACACTCCTGGTCACACCAACACTGTATCCAATGTTGCACTCACTGTCTGGCGCTCGGCATAGCCTATTCTACTCGGCCTATCTAGCCCATCTACGTTCAAGCAACTGAATCACACCGAAGTCAAAGACCAATGTACGTGATGTCAACACCAATGCTGACCACCAGCATACACCAGGTACGTTCTCTCCTCTCCCCTCATCAGACGTTGACCACCCACTCATGCGCCTCCTACCCGAAGACCACCTTCGCCATCTCCTGTCTTGCGCCCCTGCAGCCCGGCTATAGCTTCTGTGCGCCCGCTGCCCTTGCAGCATCCCTCACCTCAGGGCTCGTGCGCGCATCTGACCATCGGCGCCCATGCAGACACTTGCGCAGCAACTCAACAGCGCGCCAAGGCCAGAATGCCCTGCCCTGGGCTGGCCTCTTTCCTTTATGGAAAGTGCAGCCCCTGTGTGTGTCTGCGTGGGCCTGGCTGGGGAAGTTTTCAGTAGCTTCCAGTTGGGCCCAATTGTCTGCGCCCAGGCCCACCTCTACAGTTAAGGGCCTGGGCCCTTTTTGGTTAGGCAGGTACAGGTAGCCTTCCAGGCACCAAGTGTTGGCCGCATTCTCATTGGCTCGCGGAGATTGTGTGGCGACAATGCTGCTTTCTCATTCGTCCCTGGCTGGTGCGTGATGTGACGGCCTCACACTGCGTGTGCCCAGGGCGCAACCACCCGGCCCTGGGCTCAACTGTACAGCACAGCCCTTGTTTCTGGAAAGAGCCTGGAGGCTCACATTTCCCTGTAACCAACTGGCATGCTGCAACTGTGGATATTCAGGCCCGCCTTCACTTAGGGGGGGCACAAGGCTTGCTGGGGCCCACAGCCGAGAACACTTGCATGTCTGTTAGGGCCGCGTGAGGGCTCAGTCCTCGCAAAACCGAGAAATGGTCAAAAAAAAAAAGAAAACAAGGCAGAGGAAAAGTCTGAAAAACATTCGTAGGGATCCGGACCATGGCAGCTTAGTACAAATGGATCTGCACATCTAGCTCCCCCACAACTGAGATTACAGGATGGTGCTACCCATCCCAGCATGAGCCTGACTTCTTCCACCGTGCAAGCACGGATTCGAACTGGCAACCTCGACCTCAAGAGCCAGGTATCTTAACCACTACAGCCAGGACACGGTGCAAAAGTGGAACCATACCGCCCCACCCCTGCACAGGTGGCAGTAGCACATGAGGAACAGGGGTAGACCAGTGTTGAATCCTTCCTTCCGAGGAAGCAAGCTATCAATGCTAGTGTCTCAGGGTCTCTCGGCCATAAGGGAGGGAAGCATTGAGTGGGTGAACTATGTAAGGGACAAAGAAAAAAGAACAGAAACAGGGATCGGCAAGGTCCTTAGCTCTGCTTGGGTGGATTCTCGATATTACACGGGGTCTTCAGGTGCCGGCTTCAGATTTTGCATGGTACTGTGTCAAAATGTGGGATGAGGTCTAGCCATACTCCCCCAGTTTGAATGGACTGAAATAAAGGCCTTGGGTAATGGGCAGTCTCTAGAAGGAAAGTACTGGTTTGTGTAGCCTACCCAGTACAGCCTTAGGAAGCAGGGAGGTGAGCCACCATGCAATGATAATGCTATGTGTGTTTTATGTTTTGGCATTTGCAGAATTGTCTACTCCATTGGATGAGGATGCACTTTGGATAACTAAAGGACGGACTCACGAGCAATGGGTGTCTGCAGTCACAGTTTCACTGCTGGAGCACACAAATGACACTATTTTACGGTGAGTGCTGTGAAAGCGCCCCTCTCCTTTTTTGTTTTCTATTGGTGGGGGAAAGGTTGGGGGTTGGGGGCTTCTATTGTGTCACTTTCAATCTTCTCCACTGGACCAGGCTTTCCAAAAGTCAGGAAGTATCCAGTGAGATGAATAGACATCAAAGGTTTCTTGATATTTATGAAGACCTTTCCCAAATAATGCAAGTGGAGTCTAAAAAGGTAGCCAGGGAGCGGATCAATTAGTATTTGCCAAAATAAGATCCAATGCAGGAATAACATGATTGAAAGTCTACGAAGGTAGCCAGCGAGCGGATCAATCAGTATTTGCCAAAATAAGATCCAATGCAGGAATAACATGATTGAAAGTCTTAAGGGATTCGGAGGACACCAACACAGAGGCCAGGTTAGGTCTACGGATCGAGCCCTGGGGTCTGCAATATCACGCGAGCCACAATGCCAGCCTTGCAAGATTTCTTCATGGCTCCTTTCTGAAATTTTGGAGGCTCAGAGCTACCGAGCCACAATGGCTGGTGGCACGGCCGAAAAAAAAAAGAAGTGTGCCGCTGGCGGTTCGGCAAAGCTTGGCCCCGTCAAGCCGGGGTGTACTGGGGGTTGAGGCTGATAGCTGTTGTACAATCAGCTGTCACTGTGACAGGATCCTATGTTCTCAACAAGTGGCTCTTATGTCAGTATTCTCTCTTCAGCGTTATTGGTTTACTCACCTTCCTGGCAGAGGCAACTTACTGCGTCTGAGAGGAACAGATGAAGAGAATGGCAAGCTGATCCTTTGGCCTATTTGGAAGGATGCTTTGAGTGGGAATTGATGTATCATGCTGGCTCCTTGTACATTCTGCGGAGCATCAGTCCCTGTCCCTGTCCACCAGCAAGTAAAAGGACCTGTTGGGGAAAAAAAAAAAGTGCAAGAAACCAGTGCTAGTACACGGGTAATCAGGCCTTACTAAAAACGAGACAGATGAAAGCAAGCATTGGTGTTCGGATACATTTCAGGATTATTGCCAGGACACAAATTGGGCTCTTGACAGTCTGTTCACAGATTGAGAGGAGCCGGAAAACATGTCATAGTGCAGAAAACGTGAGTCTTTTAGGGGGATGCTTGACTGGTTTCCAGCGTTAAGCATCGACGTGTGTGGACTCTTTACAGTGGCGGAGCAGTTTTTAGTCCATCCCACAGTGGAGCCGTCAATGCTGCTCCCTTAGGTTTTTCTGTCGACTATTTTAGAGTTTTTCGATAGGCAGACCGGGTAGGCCTAGGCTGGGAAGCAGCTTCTGAAAAGTGACAATCTGGACAGCAGTAACATTTTTTTCCATTCTGCAAGTTTGCTGGAGTCAGAATAAGGAGCATTGTTTTAGTGCTGATCGCAGGGAGAGTGGGCACAGCCATAGCCAGGGAGTTGTGGCAATGTACCACATCATTTTTGTTCTGATGCTGTGTTATATGAATTAGCCAAGTGTGCATACACAATGTCAAATTTTCAGCAAGCTTCCAATCACGTGTAGTTTGATCTCAGTTAAGTGTGCAAGTGTGATGATGTATGTAACTACTTGAGATGTCTGAAAATTGTAAGAGCCCATGGAATGCTCCAGGGCTTTTGGCCTCCAGGGATCCTTCAATATACCATTGCGCACCATGAAAGGTGCCCATGTCAACATTAAGGGCCGTGTGAGCACCACGTCCCCATTTTCATGTACTATGGAAACTCTGACGCCACACTTCGTGCCGGCACACAGACAAAAAAGTTGAAGGCGTTCCCAAATTTTCTTGGTAGAGGCAACTTCGTTGCCACTTAGGATCGCCTGTAGTAAGGGTCTTTGTTTTATATGATCTCTCCTGGTGGACTGGTTTGGAGGCTTGGTTGTATTGGTCCTAACAGCCTTACTTTTTTCTTCGTTGCGCCGGCCACTTTTTCTGTTGTCTTTTTGAAACCCGGTGCACCTTGAGCTGTGGATGACTCCTGGTGACCTGGTTTGGAGGCTTGGTTGTAGCGATTCACCATATTCACCCGTTTTTATCACCTTCTTGCAGGCTTTGCCAGGTCATGGCAGCACGAAAAGCATCACTTGCAGAACTACTTTTTCCACACGTGTTGGCAAGCTTAGCTGGGGAGCATGGTGCTGATGGAGAAATTGTGCAGTGCATATCCAGACAGGTATGTGCCTGATGTTCTCATGTCTGAAAGGCCTTCCACGATTCAGACCCCAAATTCGAGTTTCAGGGTCGGAGGCCTGGGCCAAGAAAGGCCAAGTCGGTCATTTTCAGAAAAGTCACAGTCGGGTACCTTAGCAGTCAATTCCAACAGGCACCCGGCAAACAGTCACATCTCAGGGGTAAAAATACGTCTCATAATGAAAAGTCAAATCCCACGGGCAAAGGACACTTCCACAGGCAAGAGTCGTGTCCCAGTGGCAGGAGTCACAAACCACAGTCAAAAGCCATGTGCCACAATCGAAAAGTCCGGACTCAAAGGCCCAAGCAGCAGCACACCAATGAAAATTCGGGAAAGGTACCAGGCCCTGACATTCCAAAGCAAACAGGCCGTGGGGATGTGGTACCGGAACCAAGTCAAGCCCCAAGAAGCAGAGGCTGGCACAAGTTGAAGCTCGGTCCAAGACAATATAAGGACTGGCCAGCCTCCTCATTCGGCAGATTGCTCATTCGCAGGAAGTGTGGAAATGCTGGTGCACTTGTGCGCTATTGTGAGGGGCGAAACACTGAGCCAGGGAGCTGTGCTAGTTGAGGGGGAGAGAGAGAGGGGGCAGCCATAGCTGCCCAGCACTGGCAGAGGGAAGGCAGCCATATCTGCGCCAGTGCCTAGTGGTTAGTGGTAGACTTCAGAGGGGTTAGTAGAGTTAGCAGTGGGTGTATTCAGAGTTGGTCCTTGAGTAGTAGAAGGTGCGTGAGTGCATGCAAGTAGGGAGAGAAGACACAGTGAGGTAATAGACAGAGAGAAGACTGGGAGAGAAGAGAGAGGAACGTTGAGAGAGATACTTACCTGAGTGGAGATACTGGTTACTTGGGTTTGCGCTGTTGAGCGCTTGTGGCTGGAACTCTTAATTGCTCATACGATAATTTGTTACTTGTTGGAATTCTAAAGCTGCGCTACCTGAGAATCGCGCTCGCGCCGTCTGGTAGCGCTAAGCAGCGCTAATTCGCACTCGCGTCCAGCACCCGACTCCAGCCAGCCCGCCGCCGCGCGCGAAAGCGCCCGGCTCGTGTTTCAAATTTCGAAAACAGGCCGGCTCGACACGGCCGCCATCGCCCCTGCATGCATGCCAGCTCGCGCCAAGAGTGTGAGCCCCACCATCGAGCTCTGTACCTGACACCATAGCCGACGGGGGACATTCGGCTGGACAGCTCACAGCGTGAGTGTCTCCCCCAATCGGCCATCCGCCAAGAGACGAGAAAGTGAGCCAGCTCGCTCCTCAACAACGCAAACGGCACCTGCGTCCTCCACATCCAGGGAGGACCAAGGGGAAGATCGAAAAGAGCCGGCACTCAGCCGCCATCGCCAGCGGAAACGCCCTCCCCAAAAGGGGAAGAGCCTGGCCAGCCAAGTAGCTGGGAGCGTCAGTGAAGCGGACAGCGTATCAGCCCAAGAAACGACCTAGCAGTGAAGTGCCAAGCAACCCACATACTAACCCCTACTCTCACATCTCTCCAGCCCACATCTCCCCCACCCCGCTAACCCCCCCGTACTCTCCAAACCCTCTCCTTCCTACCTACCCTTCCCCCACCCACCCTAACTCGACCCAACGTGTCTTTCAAGTGAACCGCCACTAACCTCCCAGCCCCGACAACGATCACACCACCAACCCCACCCGCCGCCTCCCTGTATCTCACCCAAACCTACTAACGCATAACAACCCCACCCCACATGACGAACAACGCTCAACGGAGCGGGCAAACAACACACACCAACACCCCACCTC